GAGAGAGAGAGAGAGAGAGAGAGAGAGAGAGAGAGAGAGAGAGAGAGAGAGAGAGAGAGAGAGGAGATATGGTAGGAGGATGGAGGAGGTAGGGAGGGCGCGTTATATGACGTGAATTTGTGAAACTGAGGTAGGTAGAGAGACCAATGATGACCACCGCTCCATCACTCTTGAAATGTCAAAACAACAGGAAAATGGTGAGTGTACGTATCTATCCATCTTCTGGGTGAAGATACATTCGTCGCTCTCCAGAATTGGTAAGCAGTGCAGCGAGATCGAATGGCGCGGGCAAATCAAAATGGCAAAGGAGGGTTTGGGAGAGGTGGTAGGGGGGCAAGGGGGAGGGGGGGTATAGACATAGGTGGAGGGGAAGGGGGGGGTAGAGATAGGGGTTAGGGGGAAAGCAATCAAGAGAGAGGAGACGGTGATCAGAAATGGGGTTTAGCCAGAGGGAGAAATTGGAACCCTCTCTCTCTCTCTATTGAGCCCCAGCATATTCTCCGGACCCCTCCCCCTCTCCCTCTCCCTCCCTTCCCCCCGATTAGAACGCAGAGGCGGCAGAGCTCAAAGCTCAAGATACGTAGTTCTAGTTGTCTATCCTCTCCGTAACTACAGTAAAATAATTTGTGCGGCGGAGATTTGCAGAGATCCAGCGGTCTATCCTCTCCCCCGATCACTACGTCTATCTTCTTCTACCGATTAGCACACACCAATCGCCTGCTGGGCTTCCGCTTATGAGAACGCCGGCTAATCTGGTACTTGCTGGCTTTCCTTGATTACTAGTATTACTTATTATTAGTAAGTTATTACTCTTTGAGAACGGGATTTGAACCCGCGATTTGGTACACACCTGCTGGCCTGCCAATTCCCCTAATTTAAACCTTAGGAGCAACAGTGCGTTGGTATTCCAATGGATCGATGATTAGGATCGATGATCAGGATCGCTGATCGGGATCGCTGGTGAGCGGCTGCTGGCTTCCCTCGATTACAGCATCTGCTGAGCTGTCCATTAGCAATCTGGCCTCCCGCGAGTAGAGCACCCCCCTCCGCTGCGGGATTACGCCAGCTGTGTACGTGCTGCTGATGCTGATGATGATGACGAGGAGGAGCAGGAGGAGGAGGGGGAGGGAGGAGGAGGAGGAGGAGGGGGAGGGAGGATTGCGATGATGATGATGATGAGGTGGAGGAAGATGGCGATGATGATGATGATGATGATGAGGAGGAGGAGGAGGAGGAGGAAGAGGAGGAGGAAGACGATGGTGGTGATGATGATGATGATGATGATGATGATGATGACAAGGAGTTGATGAGGAGGACGAGGGAGGAGGATGGCGATGAAGATGAAGATCATGGTGATGATGATGATGATGATGAGGAGGAGGATGACGAGGAGTTGAAGCGATCGATCAGTGTTGATAATGATGCCGTAGGGGGCAAATCTGATGGTAGGAGGAGGAGGGTGTATCTGGTCTCACCCTTCACCCTCCGTCTGCGGTATTTTGCCAGCTGTGTAGGAGGACGATGATTTTTGATGTAGACGTCGTGTGCGACCAGGTACACCCCTCCGTGCGGTATGAGATCAGGTACGCACCTGGGTGGGGTGTGGGACCAGGTACAAGAGAAAAAAATCCGACGGTAGGAGGGTGTACCTGGTCTCACCCTTCACCCTCCTGCGGTATTTTGCCAGCTGTGTAGGAGTAGGAGGAGGAGGAGGAGGAGGAGGAGGATTTTTGAAGTATCACCGTCGAGACGTGGTGTGAGACCAGGTACATCCCTCCCTGCGGTATGAGACCAGGTACACACCTGGGTGGGCTGTTAGACCAGATACATTCTCCCCGTCGAAGAGAGTAGTTCCACAGTTCCGTACATCAGTGGATTTTTGAAGTATCACCGTCGAGACGTCGTGTGAGACCAGGTACATCCCTCCCTGCGGTGTGAGACCAGGTACACACCTTGGTGGGCTGTGAGACCAGGTACATTCTCCCCGTCGAAGGGGTATCTGCGCCGGGGGCCTGTGGCAATCCCGCTGCCTGTCCTCTCCCTCGATTACTACGCATATCTCCTCTCTTCTTCTCCAAAACACACCTGCTGCTGTCTTGCTGGCTTCCTCTGATAAGCTATGTCGATGGAGAGGGCATATTTGAAATTCAATCTTGATCATCCTACGCTCGTATTGAGCATCGCTGATTCATCTTGTCGTTTTGTGACCATGGGTCTCACGTGCTTCGACCACGTGTGATGTATGCGTCTGTTTGCCCTTTGCCCTGTCCTCTGATGAGTACAGCTGCTGTATTGAAAAAAGGAAAAAAAAAAAAAAAAAAAAAAAAGCAGCTGCAGTATTGCCTTCCTGTAGTTCTCCGATCACAAGAGATTGAAAAAAAAAAAAAAAAAAAAATCGGGATACAGCTTGTTTTCACCGATTGGTTGGTGACAAAAAAAGGAAAAAAAAAAGAAAAAAGAAAAAAGAAAAAAGAAAAAAGAAAGAAGAAGAAAAGGCCTGCGGTGTTCTGCAAAATGCCCCGCCACACTACAGTCTTCCCCCGAATACAACGTCTGTACGGTCATTATAGCTGAATTAGACGGAAAGATAGACCAAATTCAGCTATAATGACCGTACGTTGTATGCGGGGGAAGACTGTAGAGGTCCCCGGTCGCGGATTTCGATTATGATATGAAATTTGAAGTTTGAGTTAGCCAGGGAAAAAAAAAAAAAAAAAAAAAAAAACAGTTGCCCCGCACCCGGCGGGCACCCCTATGGATCGGAAATGTCCCGATTAGATCGAATGTTTGGATGTATGTGACGCGGAAATTGTGCTCCATGCACTTTTGTTACGCCTTTAAGTTAGCGCCCTGTTCAGGCAGGGGTAGGACGATAGGCGTAGAGTAATCGGGGACCAAGATGGTGATAAGGCGTTCTGATTGGGAGTCGTTCGGCGTTAATCGAGGGTCAAGACGGCTGGCGCTGTGTGCGAGGGAAGACCGGCTTTGTAAGAGCGTCTTGTATGTTTGATTATATATGGATACTGAAAATGTATATATATCCACGGGGATGGGGGCAGCCAGCGCTCAACCGGTCATCCACGTGGCTGGCCTTGTTTGCTTCTTTTTTTGTTGTCTTTTTCCGCCTTCGCGCGTCGATTTACAGTGTGACAATGTATATGTATATATTTATATATCGTCACTGAACTTGTCATCCACGTGGCTGGCCTTGTACGTAAGAGGTGATGAACAGGCGGAGCTTTCCTTCTTCTTTTGTTCCTTTTTTTGTGTTGTCCTTTTCCGCCTTTGCGCTCCGATTGACAGTGTGGCAATATATATCTATATATATATTATAGTTGTAAGGAAGAAGATATAAATAAACGAATTCATTCTTTTTTCTTCTTTTTTTCGCTTTGGCGCTCTCATATTCATGTGATGATATATATATATCGTCAAACAGAGCTGCGCGGTAAACCGTAGGCAGAGAGGGAGGAGAAGAGAAGAGGACAACAAACGAGGGAGGGACTGTGACAAACTGTTTCGTCGGAGCTTCACCCACTCATCAATCAGTAGAGGCTGAACCCTCAACAATCTGGAGAATCCCCTAACCGCAAGTGATAATCCACCTTAACCGCAACCGGTTGTGGTAAAGCATCAACGACTGCCCGACAACTGATACCCCTCTGAGGTGGTGGGGACCACCACCATTGTCCTCAAGGTACCTGTGACGAAAATCAAAGCATATCCTCTCTGCCTACGGTTTACCGGGCAGCTCTGTTTGACTCTCTCTCTCTCTCTATTTATATATATCTATATTCATGTGATGATATATCTATATATACATATATGATTACATACAGCTACAGCTAGTATGGATATGGGCCTCGCTTTACTGACCACGTGCGTAAAATGGCCTGTATCCACATCTAGAAGGTGTATAGATACATGCGATGCGATTTTATCTGTCGTTCCCGCATTTTGCGATAAATGAATGGTGTGGAAACGAGGTGGACCCTATATTACTCTCTATTCTCACACAACAAAATAGAGACGATGATCTCTCTCTCTCTCTCTCTCTCCTTCGTCTCTTCTCTTTCTCCTTTGTGACCGAGAAGGCATGGAACTTATGAGGGCAGTGGTAATTAGCAATATAGGGGTTGGGTG